CATGGGTAGTTCCGCTTTAGTTTCCTTAAGTTTGCTTTTAAGTTAAAAATCATCGTTAATTGGGAATCAACCTAATTGAGTCTGTTGTCCCAAAAGATGTCTATGAAAAACCATCATTAGTTGGTAACACATTACAGTGATTTGCACACAAAACAGATTACAATTGATTGCCACTTAAACACATACTACATTCAACTGGAGACTAAATAGTTTTAACATTATCATCATTAGTAGCAAACATAGCTTATAACTTTTTTTGTTTGTCAACTTTTTAACTAGAAATGTGAGACGCAGAGTCAAATGAAATGACAAACGCAAGCACCGGTCGCCAATCAATTACTTTGAACTTTTGAATTCCTTATTGGTCTCTAAAGATGGTAAACCCAGAGGTTGGAAACCGTTTCGAAGAGCAGCTTCCCATACTCTTCTTCGATGATGAATGGTTGAATCGTCTCGACCACACTCGTGTTCCTCCCATCCTTCAAGCGCGTGTACGATCCCACCAACTCTCCATGCGCTCATCACTCTCCTCCCCAGCCAATTCTATATATACACAACACATGTTATAACATCTCTATAAAAATTAGTAGTACTATATATAGTTTTGGGTACTCCAAATTAGAAAATGTTCATACGCACCTCACAAGAATCGATGTTTTGGGCAGAGTCCGGGATGATCATAGCTGGAGTGGTATGGTAAAAGCAATCCTTTCGGATTTCGGTAGGCGGAAATTGAGAAAAAGGAAGAAATCGGGTTCCTTTTCTCGCCATCTTCTGCTCTTCTACGCTTAGCCCATCTCCCACCAACCATATCTACATCATATGTTACAAAATTTGTATGTAATAATATTGTCATAACATGGTTATGTTATTATTAATGCTCATTTTGCAATTTCCACATACCATTGGGGAATAATTGGTTGTGAGCACCAGATTTTCCTTACAATTTCCGTCAAGGAATTCGGCTAGCTTGCAATGCTCTTCCTCACGTAACACCATCACCTATTTTAGGAAATAATTTATCAAGGATGACCATTAAGAATACCTCTAAAATCTGAATTAATTATTACAATGCTTTCAATTTTCAAATGTAGAAAACATTATGAATATATTTTGTAAATCCGAAACCAACTCCTACAACGAGATGCTAAATTGATTTGGACATAAAGTAGGCCATGTTACATTGTTTACGTGTCAAAAAAATATGATCGAAGGATTTGATTAAATTATGGCATATATATAACGTATATATGAAGCTCCGTTCAGTTTATAAACTACGGTGTAGGCACAAGTTTACTCTATCGAAACTAAGTTGTTATATACGTTCGATCCTATTCTAACGCGCAAATTATTATGACGTAAAAGATTTACTATAACTATTGAAAAACTAGGAAAGAAAAAGAAAAAATTATGTCAAAAGGTACCTTGATGTCATTTTGGCAAAGAGAAAAGACAATGGCACGAGCGACCTTTGTGATTTGGCCTCTAAAGAGAACTTCTCTCGTACCAACGGGAATGCTATGAACCACTACCTCAGCTGCAAGGCTGCTTCCGTCCACTATTCTTATCTTTAGGTTTGGATGCTTCCTTACGTACATTTCTCCGTATCCATTCAGTTCTTCTCCCTAATAATTATAGCATATATTACTATAATTAGGGATTATATTTAGAGCACATAAATAGATCTCTCGTTAGAATTGTAAAACATAAGAATGAACAGTGAATGTAGTAATTGCATGCCTGGTTCAATAGCCCCAAACTCATTACTCTCACACCCTTCTTTTCCGCTTCGAGAATAGCCGCCTCTATCATTTTGTTGATGCTTTCTTTGTGATGTTGCGACATATACTGTTGATTGGCAAGAGAAATTCATTTAGAAGACGTGAAACTTTTTGATATGCATATGTTTAAAGATTAGAGAAGAGAGAGATACATGAGAGGAGAATTTGGGAAGGAGGTGGGAGTGGAAGGTAAGGTCACCCAAGCGGTTTCTCTCGAAGGCAAAGGTTGGAAAAGAGAAGGAAGTGAGAATGAATGAGAGGAGTTGAGTGAAGGGTCTCATGAGGAATAGGTAGCACCGAGAAGATAACGGGTGGGAGGAGAGGGAAGCAAAGCCAAGCCGGAGATGGTAAATAGAGTCAAGTGATGTTAGATGGGTGAGATGAATCGCATCAGGCTTCTCTTCTTCTTTATCTAACGATGTTTCGTACAATGAGTCACTGCTCTTGTCGTTGGTACCGTAGATGTAGTCATACATTGGCATGAATAGAGAGTAATTCGTCCTAAATTGCGTGTGGTGGAGCGAGTGAAACCTGCAATTGTTATATATAGTTAGTCTCGTATTGTATTCAATGGGGTATTCATAATAATATCGTACAATTTGTGTTTGTGTTTAGTACTAACCAACATTTGTAATGTTTTAATCAGATTCATTTGTAAACTGTAGATGAAAAAGTCACATCCGTTTGAATTTATAACTAGCAAAAACAAATTGTCAAAAATACTATCGAAAATTGTTGAGAATCCCATATCGAAACTGAAAT